GATGATAAAATTAATTGATGTGTTTGTGATCTAATGAGCATTTTGAGTAACGCAGGGCTAACATCGATTAGAAAAGGTAATTTGATTAAAGCAGGAGGAATCAGATGTTGGGTCGAAGCAAACATGTCAAAAGATTGGACGTCGGGCCAAAGGAACGATCGACGTATCGGTAGAAGGCTTCGGGCCGTGAATTCGAGCATCGAGCCAAGAAGATCGAACATTGCGCCAAGAAGATCGGATGTTGCGAGAAGACAACATATCAATTGGGTAATACACCGAAGGAGAGGACGATGCGCCGTTGAATCAAACGAAGCGTCGGATGAACCAATGATATGCCGGACAACAAGGATTCGCTTGTAATCAATTATGTCTAGATCAAGTTAGTTTAGAGTCTAATTGAGTCGATTTAGAATGTAATTAAGCCAACTTAATTAGGGGCCAATTGGGCCAAGTGGAAGGCCCAAACAATGATCCAACAGGTGGCACCATCGTGGCATAGTCTCCGAGACTATGTCAGGCGGTGGTACCGTTGGTTTGAGAGGTGGTACAGCCTAGACACAGTCTCCGAGAGACTGTCAGGCGGTGGTACCTCCCAATGGCAAGGTGTCAAGCGGTGGTACCACCCAGCACCGGCAATGGTACCGCCAGGACCCCGAAAACTAGGGATGAGACATTTTTAGGCTCCAAGTTTGAATAAACTTGAGGCCTATAAATACCCCTCTTATCCCTGGTTAAATAACGCACAAGAATTAAGAGTGAAAAAGAAAGAAACGCGGTTGTAATCTTGTGTGAACTCCTCTCCTTCTTCTAAGTGTTAGAATAGTTTGAGAGAGGAGTAAGTGGGGGTGCAAGGGTTATCTCATAAACCTGGTAAAAGGAGAAAGAACTGTAAAAGGTGATTGATCTTCGCCTATTGAAGGAAGACCGATAGTGGATGCTAGTGGCCTCGACGGAGGAGGAATCTGGAGTGGATGTAGGTCACGACGACCGAACCACTATAAACTTGGTTTGCATTTACTTTGAGCAATTTACTTTTATAGCAAACTACCTCTCCTCCTTACCGTGCTTTTACTATGCATACGCTCGCATACCCTTTCAAGTTAACATCTTTATAAAAAGGGTTTAATCAAAACGAATTTTCCAAAATCGACGTTTTTACCACTACACTAATTCACCACCTCCCCCCTCTTAGTGCCGACTCGTTCCTAACATATTTATCATGCCTGAGCAATCATTCTCCTGACCACCTCATTGGCTAAGGCTTCAATCATTATCATGCATGCACCATTAGCCATGGAAGATCAACTAAAATTGAAACATTAGAGCCTACCAAATCGATGCACTTATCAAGAATTAAGACCAAGCTATTGCATGCAATTATACATGTCACCATCCCAGGGGTGGGGGGGTGGGGGCGACGTGGTGAATTAGTGCTATCGAAAAAATTATATAGATTCAAAAATCTCATTTCGATAAAGCCCGTATCGGAAATGATATCGAAAGTATGCTTCACTTAAAGTAAGTGTAATAAGCAATTAAAATAGAGAACACTAGTAATAAAGAGCAGAAAGAGGGTGCACACGAAATTTATAGTGGTCCGGTCGTCATGACCTATGTCTACTCTTGATTCCTCCTCCATTAAGGTCACTAGCTTCCACTATCAATCTTATTTCAATGACGAAGATCAACTACCCTCTTACAACCCTTTTCTCATAGGTTTAGGAGATAACCTTTACAAGTCACTCACCGCTCTAAATCAACACTTAGAGCTAAAGGGGGGGAATTCTCATAAGATTATAATAGTGTTTTGCTCAATTTTTATTCTCAGTTAATGTGTTAACCGAGCAGGGATGAGTGAGGTATCTATAGGCCCCAAATAGATTCAAATTTGAAGTTAAAACGATCTCATTCCGGGTTTTCAGGGTACTGACGGTACCATCGCCTACTAGATTGATAATTAATGGTACCACCGCATGTCAGTCTGATATTGGGTGATACCATTGCCCAATCTGACACTGACATTGGACGATATCATCGTCACCTGTACCCTGTACCCAGAGAGTAATTAAAAATAGAATTTGAATCACTTAGTAGTCTGCCCCTTTTACGTATCAATCTTTTAACTTGCTTCGGATAAATCAAGCCCGAGTGCCTCAACACGAACCCGACCCACTTGATAACAGGACCAGTCCTACAGGGTGGAGCCCACACATGTCAGTTTCATGTTGACTTGGTAGAGGGCCACGCCTGCGTCCCCGGTGAGGCATAAGGCTGGAGAGGTCAACCGTACGAACAACGCACGGTATCGATGGTCCATGTGGTCAACACCACGTGCAAGCAACGCCTGCAGCGCGTGTCACGTGTCGGTCTCCATCCATTTGATGGAACGTGTCCCAACACGTAGCACGGCCCACCACAGAGACATCAAGGCCCGAAACGTAGCCTCATCACAGATGTGGATTACGGACATGCATCATGTTGTTTGTTCCGAGTCACTTACTATTCATTTTGATTCAGGAGCTGCATGATGTTATTCTTAAACAAAAAGTCTTGTTGAGGAACAACAAATCCTTAATTTATAAGCCACAAACTTCTTTTATTGTTCGTCCTCTTTCATCTACGCTGTTCTTGTATATTGGATTGGATTATACTATGAACATCATTTTCTTTTACCACCAAGAATCTAAAACATAATATTCCCTGCGATGAGCATACGAAGCATCTGTGGTTTCAATTCCATGCCAACTAGCTGTGGGATTTTAGATAAGGAGAGCCATGGATGCTGGGATACGATGCCTATTCTCATGCCTAACCCCACTTAATTGTTCTCTGATGCACCCTTATCACACAAAATTTGCAGGAATGTAGAAATCTGTAACTATGCTACCATCCAACTCTTCAAAGTAATCATCAGGTCGTGTTCTCATCATATCAGCCATGAAGAGGAATTGATGAAAGCCATTTGCAGAGGCTTGCATTGAAGAAGTTCACAGAAGAGGAAAGCCCTGACAGCCATTTTTCTGTAGTTTCCATGGTCAACAGTAAAGTGTGGACTTTGCCAACTCAACTGGCACAGGCTGCAGGACCCACCAATCAGTGTCACTAAATCTCAGTTGCACCAATCAAATCTCCTTTTCTCTTCTTTCCTTATCTTAAAAAACATACATGAAGATGATGTTTTCTTTTCTTCACTGCGACTGCTACCTGCAAAACTGTGGAGGATTCACATTAACTCTACTGCTGTCTGCTGCACATATCACCATTGGATGCAAGAATTGGTTGTGGCAAATGATTGCCAATGGAGCCCATGCCATGGCAGGCAATTATATTTCTTGAGAAGGGGGTGGGGGACAACCTGCTTCTTCTGATACAGAAGAAAATAGAAACCTCCACAGTTCCTCATCCTCTTTCATGAAGTACTTCACAGGGCATCATATGTCATCCCCCGTGAGATGATTCAGGCATCACAGTACAATAATAGAAGACATGGCTCAGATTCAAATAGTAAGAAAGGGAGGGCATCACATATAATATATGGTGGGGATGATCAACCTGTCCACATATTGGCATTGCAATCACCAATTGTCTTTGCTATAAAAAAAGCCTCCCTGTTTTTTTGGAATTGTGACATACCATTCACAACATCTATTCAGACCCATTCCATTTCTTCCTCATGTTTAGCTTTTCCCCACTTCATATCTCAGGATATATGTCAGTGACATTCTGTGTTCTTAACAAAAACTGGGAGAAAGAACTCACTGTTCTAACACTCTTTTTTTTTTTTTCTTTAATTTAATGATAGTATCTTATACCATTTTTTAATTGCACTCTTTCTTTCTTTTCCTTTGGAAAACTGAAAATTTGCCTTCATTTTTTGATGTTTCAAACTCTTAATCTCCACAATAAATTCATGAATGAATTCTTTTTAAATTGAGTTCTACTAAAGAACACTATGAATATAGTCTCACACAGAATATTATGATGCATATAAAAGCAAATTGTGCTTCTAATCTAGCAGATGAAGGATGCAGAATACACATTATAAGAGACATGGTAAGCCTTCATATGTTCACAAAGTCAAAAACCATCTTTATTATCAATGAAAGAATACCACACACATCATAAAACAATGAATAGGGAAGCAAACATAAAGGCTCTAAATCAAGTTCAAACTTTGCTTGCTCGATCAAATCAGATTTTAAAGGTTGAAAAGGATTTCTCAGCAAAATGTAGGAAAAGCATCCAAAAATTTATTATTAGTTTGGTATTAGATATTTTCATATGCGGCTTCCGGCAACTTTGACAGGTTGTGTCACTCCCTCCCTTTACATGCTTCACATCAATACTGTAGCTTGATGTGATGAATTGTGTGTGACTGTCAAATCTCTGTGCCACTGGTTCATCCCCTATTTCCTCCCTCCTTTCTCTAATGCCAGTACAGGCATTCTTAAAGGTTTCTTCTTGGGAATTCTCATGCCAGTTTGTTCGATTGCTTGTCTTAAGCTCACTCAGATCCCACATAAGGTTGGAGTGGTTCATGTGTCGCTGTCTCTACACAGTAGTATATAATATCACCATCAGGGAAACAAGTAAACAGCTCTGACATGCATCAGTCTTCCAACATTCTGGCTTGCTTATCTTAGGAATTAACATAGTACTAATACCACTCAATGTAACTCTTTTTAGTCTTACAACGGTTGGGTCTACATGACACTCCCATCTCATTCTTTAAATTGAAGTCAAATCTCTGGTTTTAGAATCCTTCTTAGGAATTCTCGAGTGGAAAACACCATGTGCAGGAGTTACCATAGATATGCTTTTCGGAGGAAGATGAGTTGTGGCGTGGAAAAGGGTGAGAATGGAGCAGTGGAGAAGAGATCTCGGAAGGGCAGGTCAAAACAGGGGATGGGGAGTATGGGAAACGTAATATCCTCAGAATATAATTCATCCTAGCCTACGGAAACGGGTCCACCGGACCTTATCCCTTGTTCCACTTGGCCGCAGGCACAAGGAACCGATCGTGGCCATTGGATGGCAACTCCGGGGCGGGCCGCGCCACCCAATTATTGATGGAACCCGGTAACCACGAGGGAAGTCCGATGATAGAACGGTGGGGGAGGCGGAGAGCGCAATAGGAGCTGCCATTTCAGTTCTCACCTCCTAAGCTATATACGTCGGCTTTACGCACTAGCCTGCGCCCGTCTCCTACCTCGAGAGGCTTAGGATCCGACGTTCCTTTTTCTTCCTCCTCCTCCTCCGCGGGTTGGCTTCGCTGAAACCAAGGTCTTTGCTTGTTCCAACCTTTCTCTAAGCTTATGCATGCGCATGTCTTGTGTATGTGGAGATTTTGGAGAAAAGAGGCGACTATGGTTTGGTTGCGAACAAAAGGAAAGGTTGGTTTGTTGTGTTTTCCATCTGGTTTCCGAAAAGATTGGAATTTTGCTCCTTCTTTCTCCCCCTTTCACCTCTTTGAATCTTTGTGCAATGGTTTCGTGGTGTCCTGGTTCGGTATGCTTTTTGAGTTGATCTCTTGCTTGCAGTATGTTAATCTTTGATTCTCAGGTCGGATGGCAATCCTAGAGAGCAATCGTTGAAGAAGATGCGACTTTTGACTGGATTTGCGATGCAGCTACTCTCGGATCGAAGAAAAGGAACGATCTTGTCAGCCAAAAAGATGGAACTTTACCTTGTGTTCTGAGAAGATCTTGACCTTCGGTTCCACTTTGTTCTGCCATGGGTTTGGTCTAATCGAGCCATCAATGGAATGTGTCGGTGATTCAGGCATCCGTAGTTCTTCGCACACTGTATCTTCAGGGACTCCGTAAGCATCTTCTTCTCCCCTGATCTATCATGCCTCTTTCCGAGTTCTATCAAGCATCAGCAAGGAAGAAGTTTGACGCTGCCCAGTCCAACAAGATGGCCAGCCGCTCGTCTAATCGCTCTTCTTCCATGTAAGCGCTCTTCCCCTGTGCTTAACCTATTTCCTTCACCTTCATCCTTGTTCATCTTTTAGTCTCGATGCTACGATCCAAGTTATTATCCTCTAAGTCGAGGTTCATGGATGTGTGACCAAGGCCTGATAACGAGTTCGTCGAACTACTCTGGGAGAACGGTCCGGTTGTGATGCAGGGCAAGTCCAACAGGCCTCGGAAGACCTCCATTGCCACCACCAACTTCTCTTTGCCTGCAGACAGAGCTGAAGGGAAGGACAGCACAGCTATCGCCAACATGCCCAAGCTGGGTGTGCTTGAGGCCATGGACCCATTCGTCAGCAACTTCTCTCCCTCTGATCCTTCTGGCAATGCCGGAATCATCAGTACTCAATTCGACAATATGGTTCCCTGGATCAATTATCCGATTGAAGAGGATCCTGCCTCCAGCAATTATTGCTCAGAGTTCTTCTCTGAAATCTCAGGGATTTCTATGCCTGCTAATGAGAACAATAGTTTTGGTCATAGTACACCATATGTGGAGCATGGAATTGTTTCTAAAGCACTCGAAGCTGGATCGTGTCAGAGTTCACTTCCAAGCATCATGTCAAGAATTGAGAATTCACCGAAAAAAGATGTAAGCAGTATGGATTTAATGAACTCCTCCCTTTTCTTGAGACCGGGCATGAAAGGAAAAGCTAATCTCCAGAGTGTTGAGAATTCTGCCACTGCCACTGCAAGCAGCAACCGGATCGAATCGACAGTAATCCAGTCTTGTAGTGGTTTGCAAAGTACTTCAGGTATTCAAGGAGAGTTGAACTCTGTCTCATCCATGTTGGAGATGGGATCATCCGCAGAAACTCCCCGAGAGATTGCATCTGTTGAGCCACTGGAGGATGTCTGTGAACAGGACATGCCAAGAAAGAATCTCAAGTCGGTAATCGAAAAAGATCACGAAGCCATTGCTGCATCTTCTTCTGTTGGTTCAGGCAACACAGCAGGAACAGCATCCGGCGATCCTGCACAAGGTGCAAAGAGGAAGAATCAAGGAGAAGAGTGTGGTAACCACAAAGAAGTAAGTAAAAATATCGACAAAGATAATGAGATTTTCTGCTATCAAACCGTGATTCGAATGTACTGTCCTTCGAATAGGATCTTGAAGATGCATCCACGCCATCAAGAAAGCCCGATGCTGATGCTGCCAAGGGAAGAAATGCAAAGAGAAGCCGTGCAGCAGAGGTGCATAATTTGTCAGAAAGAGTGAGTCAAAGCTCAACCGATCTCTTTGATTTGCAGTAACTCGAACGCTGACTTTTCTGCTCATCCAATTATGCTTAGAGGAGAAGGGATAGGATCAATGAGAAAATGCGTGCGCTGCAAGAGCTTATACCCAATTGTAGTAAGGTACCTCAAAACTCTATTTCGTTCTAAGAGATGGAAGAACTTTGATGAACTAAAGCTGTGTGCTTTGAAGGTGGACAAAGCGTCAATGCTTGATGAGGCCATCGAGTATCTCAAGACCCTTCAGCTTCAAGTTCAGGTAAAACCCTTGCAGCATCCTCTGAGCTCTCTTCGTTGTGTTCTAAGCACGATCCTCTACATACCGCAGATGATGTCTATGGGTAGTGGGCTGTGCATGTCTCCGGTGATGCTACCAGGTGGGATGCAGCATCTGCGTGTTCCCCCCATCGCTCATTTCGCGCAGATGGGAATGAACATGACGTTTGGTTATGGGATGGGGATGCTCAACATGAATGGTTCTCCGGGCTGCTCTCTGGTTGCAGCTCCTCCTCCCATGCCTGGCACACAGTTCCCTTGTTCTCCCCTTCAAGCACCTCAGGGTTTATATGGGATGCCTCGGCCTACGAATCTTCCCATGTTTGCACAAGGACAAGCACTTCCTGTGCCAGTGCCTCGTGTGCTACCACCATTCAAATCCATGTCAGGCCTCCCTGCAAATTTGAACTCAGTGCCTGAAGCTTCGACGACCACAACAAGCAATCCTTCACGAGCTCCAGATGCAGAAACCTCATCAAGCTTTAAAGATCAAAAGGCTAGCGCTAGTGATTCACAGGTATAATTGCTTTTGTTCAAGTAATGAACACTCGGTTCTAGATGACAATCTTGCTTTGGATGCTTAGATCTGATGCTCCTTCAAACTGAGTTTGCTTTTATTGCAAGGGAACAAAAGGATCGTCCCAACGATGTCTGAGTACACCGAGCATTAGTGATGATGAACCAGTAGAACTAGTGAACGGAACATGAAAAGGAGAATATATCGTCTTTATGGTTTCCTATGGTGCAGGGCATGGATGATAAATTTCAGATGGTGACTGATCGAGATAGGTCAATGTTTCTGGATGGATGCAGAACCCTATGAGAGCACTGGAGTAGCCATATAACTTCATTGCAGGAAGTTTTGGGAGTTCAAAGCTAGTAGAAAGACTCATCCTTTTGTTTGTGAAAGGATGAGGTTCATGAATCTACATAACAATTTTCCTTTCGTTTAACATTTGTTTGCTGATTACCATAAGTCAGAAATATCACATGTCCCTGTGCACTGGAATAACAGCCGCCACGAACACATTATTGAGGCCAAACCTTCCGTCGTCTTCTTCCTCGACAGATGCAGTTCTTCCAAGTAGATCAACACCTTGCGTGGTGCGAGATCAAGTCTCCTCCTCGGCATATTCTCGAACACTTCGCATGGCAGCCGCACTTACTATCGAGGCTGTCGAGCAGCATGCTTCAACGACGAAGCAGGGAAGTGAAATCGTCGGCATCCGAGTCTTCGCAGATCATCTTCCGATGGAACGCGAATGCTCGTGCGATCGACAAAGCCTTCGAGGACCAAGTTGTCGTTGCTATGGTACTACGTGCATGCATGGAGCACGCGTCCTTGGTTTAAATGGCGACTTATCCCACGACAGGCCTGATACCCACGTGAGCTATTGAGGATTCCACGTGTTAGCCCATGGGCGGGCCCAACGTAGACTCCACGTGTCTGAATGGTCAATTAGAATACCTGCAGCCTTTGAACAACTACATGCATCGAGGACAGACCTCAAACAAAGACCTATGACCTTCAACAAGGAAAGCTTAAAGTGCCCGGTGATCCTCTAAGGAGAGTCGAGATCTTCGTAAGCTAGATCGATTATAAATTATCTTCCTTATGGAATAGTTTATTCATAGAAAATATTCATAGGAATATTTCTTAAGAATTCAAGATATAGCTCAAGTCAATTGCAAACCATCTTTCCTGTCAAATCTTCGTAAAATATTTTCTCTCTCTAAGATTACTTATAAAAATATACCCTCAATTCTAAATAAATATGTTAAAATCAAGAATATAAATTTATAGAAGTTGATTTCAGAACTAACTTGGACGTGTAAGGGATCGATTCAAAAAATCTCTCTCGATGACTTTAATCTTTTGTGCATGTGATACATGGGGTGAGAGCACTTTTCACTTTGAATTACTTTGCGGCCCCAGCTAGCTATAGTAATTTGCTAGGGATAAGATGACGATTCAGTCTTCCAAAAAGCAGAGAACACATTGGTTCTCCCCAAAACAGCAAGATTGTGAATTGTGTTGCCTTGGTATATGACAGAACATGGTCACCACCTTCAGTCGCATACACAGGTTAGCAATACTACTGACAAATGGGTTTGAGGAACCAAGGGGTGTCTGTGGTGCTGTTTACATAGTTAACGATGTTAGCTGAGTCGGTGCAGAGCAAAAGGTTGCAGTATCCCTCGCGCTCGGCAAAACTAAGGGCTTCCAGGACTGCTGCTCCTTTTCCTGTGATGGCATTGTGAGTTTAACAGTTGCACAGCCTGCTGCAGCCACCTCTCCATTGACTCGGATTCCTGCAGAGTCGAGAGGATAGCTGTGAGAGCCATCGCACTCAACAATACAGTCATTTTCCAGGGTCGGAGGGGAAGACATAATCTCATTATGAATTATGGATTCCCTGATCCCCGGGTGATCACTATAGCCTTCTTGAGAGGAGGCAATGGTCCTGTGAACAAGATTGGACTGGTCGTTGGCAATAATAGCAAGGGTTCAAGTGGATTGAGATTTGTCCAGCATCTTTCCTTGCTCAAGCCATCAGCCCAACTCCCAAGTGTCAAAGAAGTGAAATGAGACTTTGACTTTTCTCTGGATGTCTGACCAAAATATTTGGGCTGTGCGACAGGTGAGGAAGATGTGCTTAGGGGAGTCAACGTCCATCTTGCTGACAAGGTAAGACTTTTTGGGAGTGGGAAGCCTACTCCAACTTTTAGTTTCCAAAGAAAATTTTGGACGTGTGGCCCAACATTGGTGCGCTATAGGATTTTCCAGCTCGACCAATCTTGATCTCTGTTTCAGGGTCATGCTTGATGAAATGGTAAACACCGCTAGAAGTGACTAAACCAAGCGAGCTAAGGGGGCAAAGGTTTAGTGAATTTGTGTGATCTTATCAATAAGGAGTGGGTGGAAGATCCTGTTAAAGGAAGTGAGGTTGATTCCACTTGCCTTCATGTATCAGACTCGAAATGAGATTATCAAACTCATACTGGTTGAAGAAAGTAGGCTAGTGTAGGAGAGGAATGTTAGAGATCCATAGATCTCCAAAGACCCCCTTTGATGTTGGAGATGAGAGTGAAAATATTGCGGAAGGTCAGAGAATTGGGACAATGGCGCCAAGGTTTAATCTCCCTTTCATCGTGATCATGCAAACCTTGAGTAACTTTAACATGTTCACATTCAGCCTAGTAGTTATCATTTTGAGAATTTAAAATACTCAAAGAGATTATATTTTTTTGTATCTTTGGAATATAGGTCACATTCTCCAAAGTATGCACCACTCCACGGATCATTTTGATCTTTACTACACCAACACCCATGACATCTACTATAGAGTCATCGTCTTAACTTACTAGTCATCTTATCATTCAATGAATCAAATAATTCTTATATTAGTAAACATGAGTAATATAAATAAAATCTAAAAATCAATTATTTTTTGATAGAGATATTATTACCTTTGGAGATTGTGAGGACATCTTCATCATTGTCCATCATAAAGAGCACTCACGGGCCTCTTCTTCATGTTTTCTTTTCCCAAGATAAATTCGCTTGATATGTTCTTACTCTTTACATGTATAACATCGAACATTATCTAAAAATTTGACTCTTGATCTCGACTTATTATGCTAAGATCTACTTCTGTTAGAGAATCCTCTTCATCGATCTCCATCTTGAGTAATTAATACCACACTATTCATATTTTCAGATTTATCGTTTTTCTAGTAGCATAAGACCCTAAAGAACTATGTAAGATTAATTACAAGGCTCTTAAGTTATCACCGTTAAGTACCACTCTCATATAAACATAAAGAATTTCTCTTTTAATTTTTTTTAGAAACCCTATAGATCACCCTTAGGAGCACCCAAAGTATCTTGATTTTCTCTTCTTGTTAAAATCCTAAGACTCGATGTGTACTTATAGGAACAAACCTTAATTTACTAAAAAAATTAATTTAATTATGATTTAATTAATTAATTTAAATATAATTAAAATTTCTAAAATTACTTACCAATCCAAACAGCGAATAGCCTGCGTGTTGCCCTTAGGACCACTAAACCGAAGTCCATAATTGCACTGGGTAGATGCATGCAGACATTAAATGGTTTTGGTTGAAGGATTTATGAAATGTCATTAAGTAGTTGAGTCTTTCCTGAGTGTGTTTTCTTCTATTCGATTTTGCCTTTCAATGATCGCAGGTTGCATTTTTCTTCCTTTAGTTCTTTTCTTATGATCTAAACTATCTGCTGGCCTGTAGTTTTTTTATTTTAATGTTAATACATTTAAAACTTCAAATTTTGAAATGTCAAATCCCTTAAAAGACTTAATACAACTCAGTAAAAAGATAGCATCATTTTGACTACAGTGTCAGCACCACCTGTCTTGTCCTGATTTCAGGTAAAGATCAAACGCTTCAAAATCAAGAAAAGAAAAGCCACAACTGCAGATGGAGTTCTTTGACAAACCAGTCCTAACGAAACAAGGCCCACCACAAATCCTGTGTTTAAAGCAAGACATGCATGGTTGTTGTATCAGATCAACATTTCATTGTAAATTAGGCTGGATAAGGCGGATCATAATCCCTCAGGACGGGGGCAAAGCATGCATATAACATGGAACGATCAAGAATTCATATGCTCGATTCAAATCCCAAGTATCTCGACCAGTTAGTGAGTCAATGGTTCATTTCGAAGAGGTCAATCGGATTCCCACCCTCAATCCGGGAAGAATTACTTGAATTGCTGCAACCGTTGAAGTTTAGTTGAGATTGTGTATAATGAGATCGATACAAAGTTTTCGTCGGCATGAGACGACAGATTTGATGGCACAAACTGCAGACTAATAGTTTATCGTCAAGGCCACTCACGTCCTATCTATCGACTTACCCATCTCTGAAGTTGCACCTGTGCCAACTTCCACTCCTGTAGCTCACTCTTCCAAGAAGTATCAGTGCGTTAAACGTGTATCTTGAGGTTTCAGTTTGTCTTTGTCAGGACAGTCAACATGATCAGTGATGAGTGAGCAACATCTGAGAAGGAGATAATAGTTCTAGAGCAATGAGTTTATCGGTCAAGTTCTTCCCCGTGATGTAAGATGTGATGAGACAATGATGTCACTTGCCACTTCTCAAAAGGAGATCAGTATCACTGCGTATTTGTATATGTAACACTTGGAGACTTGAGAGTGCCTTTCTTGCATCAAAGGTTGAACACCTTTTTGTGGGTCTTTTCTTTATTTTCATGTCATTCTTTCAAAAGACTTTAAAAGAAAAGAAGAGCAGAGCACCATTCTATGTCCCCAGTAAGACGTCCATGTGAGAGGAGGATAAAGAACCTCAGCTTTTCCTAGGGTTCCGTAGCAGCACTCGGTTTAAAGACCGAGTACCAGATGACGCTTCCCTACTGCGACCACCACAAGGTTAATTTTAATCGGTAGATTCACCAGTCAACTACACAGTTCAAAGGTGAAAACGACATGCTCGGCTCTACAAGAGAGACGAAAGAGAAACGTTCACACGCGGACTTGTACTGGTTAGAAGATCTCTGTGGTGCTGTCTGACGTGTGTTTGTGTCTCCCTGAATGCGATTTGTACCTCCCTCTACTAGTGGATGTGGTACTCTGTATCTGTAGGCAGTCAAACGATGGATGTTTCCTAGTTTTACGTGAAATGCTGCTGCGTGATCGCGTTATAGAACAAAAATCATTGCGACCAAGTCTGCTCAGCCTCCTGCTGGCACGGTGTGCTTGTCATATACTTTAATGCAGAGCGCACTAACAGCCGGACAAAGGCATCATCGTCATGCATGCGACAGTTGCCCTTTATCGTCAAGGAGTTGTCCTCCTTGAAGTTGGGTACACATGTGGGGCTCACGCAATGAATTCTTTGGGATAGTGCAGTGAACAGTCACCTCCCGTTCGAGGTTTCCCTTGTCGTCATAGTATCGAGCTCGAGGAATTATTCATTCTGGTCATAATTAACCCTCCCACC